TAAAATATTAGCAAATAGATTACAGCAACTTATCACAAGAATATACTATGACCAGATAGAATTTATACCAGGAATGCAGAGCTGGTTCAATATTAGGAAAACTATCAGTATCACTGAGCATATCAACACCAAAACCAACAGAAACCACATGATCATCTCAATAGATGCAGAAAAAGCTTTTGACAAAATACAACACCCATTCCTATTAAAAATACTAGAGAACAAAAGAATAAATGGAGCCTTCCTTAAAATAATAAATAGCATCTACCTAAAACCTTCAGCAAGCATATGTAATGGAGACAAGCTAGAAGCATTTCCAGTAAGATCAGGGGTGAAACAAGGATGTCCACAATTACCACTGTTGTTCAATATTGTACTGGAAATGTTAGCTTTAGCAATAAGAGAAGAAAAGGAAATTGAAGGTATTAGCTTGGGCAAAGAAGAAACAAAGCTATCACTCTTTGCAGATGACATGATGATACCCTCAGAGAATCCTAGAGAATCAAGTAAAAAACTACTTGAAATAATAAACAACTTTAGCAAAACTGCAGGCTATAAAATAAACCCACGTAAATCAAAGGTATTTCTATATATTACCAACAAAGCCCAACAGCAAGAGATAGAAAGAGAAATTCCACTTAAACTTACTGTAGACATTATAAAACATTTAGGAGTCTACCTGCTGAAACAAACCCAGGAACTATATGAACACAATTACAAAACACTTTTCACACAAATAAAGTCAGATCTAAATAACGGGAAAAACATCAGTTGCTCATGGGTAGGCCGAGCTAATATAATAAAAATGACAATTCTACCTAAGCTAATTTACTTATTCAGTTCCATACCAATTAAACTACCAAAAAATTATTTTATAGAGTTAGAAAAAATAATAAGAAGATTCATTTGGAAGAACAAAAGGTCCAAAATATCAAGGGAACTAGTGAAAAGAAATGCAGGGGAAGGTGGCCCAGTCATTCCAGATCTTAAATTGTATTATAAAGTAGTAATCATCAAAACTGCTTGGTACTGGCTAAGAAATAGAGTGGTAGATCAGCGGAATAGGTTAAGTATGTAAGATACAGTAGTCAATGACTATAGTAATCTATTATTTGATAAACCCAAAGACCCCAGCTTCTGGGATAAGAACCCACTCTTTGAAAAAAACTGCTGGGAAAACTGGAAAAGAGTATGGCAGAAACTAGGCATTGATCAAAATCTCATACCACCTACCAAAATAAAGTCAAAATGGGTTCATGATTTAGGTATAGAGGCTGATCCTGTAAGCAAACTGGGAGAGCAAGGAGTAGTTTACCTATCAGATTATGGAGAACAGAAGAATTCATGACCAAACAGGAGATAGAGAACATTATGAAAAGCAAAATGGATAACTTTGATTACATTAAATTGAAAGTTTTTGCACAAACAAAGCCAATGCAACTAAGATTAGAAGGAAGGTAGAAAATTGGGAAAGAATTTTTACAACCAGTCTCTCTGATAAGGGCCTCATTTCTAAAACATACAGAGAATTAAGTCAAATTTATAAAAATAAAAGTCATTCCCCAATTGATAAATGGTCAAAGGATATGAAGAGGCAATTCTCACATGAAGAAATTAAAGCCTTCTATAGTCATATGAAAAAATGCTTTAAATCACTACTGATTAGAAAAATGCAGATCAAAACAACTCTGAGGTACCACATCACACCTATCAGATTGGCCAACATGACAAAACAGGAAAATGATAAATGGAGAAGATGTGGGAAAATTGGAACACTAATGCATTGTTGGTGGAGTTGTGAAATGATCCAACCATTTTGGAGAGCAATTTGGGGCTATGCCCAAAGGGCTATAAAAATGTGCATACCCTTTGACCCAGCCATAGCACTTCTAGGGCTATATCCCAAAGAGATCCTACAAATGGGAAAAGGACCCACATGTACAAAAATATTCATAACAGCTCTTTTTGTGGTGGCACAGAACTGGAAATTGAGAGGATGCCCATCAGCTGGGGAATGGCTGAACAAGTTGTGGTATACGAATGTAATAGAATACTACTGTGCTATAAGAAATGATGAACAGGCTGACTTCAGAAAAACTTGGAAAGACTTGTATGGCCTGCTGCTGAGTGAAGTAAGCAGAACCAAGAGAACGTTGTACACAATAACAGCCACATTATATGATTACTAATATTGATAAACTTAACCCTCCCCAAAAATACAAGGATCTAAGACATCTCCAAAGGCCTCGTGATGGAAAATGCTATCCATATCCAAAGAAAGAACTATGGAATTTGAATGCAGATTGAAGCATACTATCTGCTATTTTTTTTCTCTTCTGTTGAGTTTTGTTTCCTCTTTCTGGTGGTTCCTCCTATTGGTTCTAATTCTTTCTTACAACATTGCTAATGTGAAAATATGTTTAACAGGAATGTTAATATATAGGCTATATCAGATTGTGCACTGTCTTGGGGAGGGTGGTGGGGAGGAAGGGGGAGAAAAATTTTAAACTCAAAAGCATATGAGGGGCAGATAGGTGGCGCAGTCAATAGAGCACCAGCCCTGAAGTCAGAAGGACTTGAGTTTAATTCTGGCCTCAGACCAAACACTTGACACTTATTAGCTGTGTGACCCTGGGCAAGTCACTTAATCCCAACCGCCTTAAAAAAAAAAGCATGTGGAAGTGATTGTTGATAAATCAAAATAAATTAATTTAAAAAATACACATCAGAATAAAAAAGAGATAGTTTTCTTTCTTAATTGTGTATTTTTATTCCTTCAATTTATTTTTCCTGACTTGTTGCTATAGCTAGCATTTCTAACATAACACTGAGTAATAATGGTAATAATGGATATCCTTTTTCAATCCCTAATCTTAGTGGGAAGGTTTCTACTTTATCTCCATTACAGATAATGCTTGATCCTGGTTTTAGAAAAATACTACCTATTCTTTTAAGAAAAGCACCATTTATTCCTATGCTTTCTAGTGTTTTTAATAGGAATAGGTGATGTATTTTATCAAAAGCTTTTTCTCCATCTATTGAAATAATCATATGATTTTTGTTATTGATGTGGTCAAATTATGCTGATAACTTTCCTAATTCTAATCCAGCCCTGCATTCCTGGTATAAACCCCACCTAGTCACAGCGTATGATCCTTACGATATATTGCTATAATCTCTTTGCTAGTATTTTGTTTAAAATTTTTGCATCAATATTCATTAGGGAAATTGGTCTATAGTTTCTTCTTGTTTTGCTCTTCCTGGACCAGATATAAGCACTGTATTTGTGCTGTAAAAGAAATTTGGGTTCTTTGCCTATTTCCCCAAATATTTTATATAGTATTGGAATTAACTGTTCTTTAAATGTTTGGTCCTGGGGTTCACAAAAATTTTTTAAAGGTATTTCAACAGGTTAGTCAAGAGGTGACAATAAGGGACCAAACAAGGGTAGAGGACATATACAAGAGATATGGCAAATGTAAAACTGACAGGATTTGACCACAGATTAGGTGAATGAAAGTAAGGAGTCTAGGATGACACTAAGGCTTTGACCCTGAGGTGAGTAGGAGGATGGGTGTGCCCATCACAGTAATAAAGAACTTGCGAAGAGTCAAGTTAACAAGCACTTATTATGTGCTTACTATGTGCCTAGCTACCCCACACTGAGGATACAAATGGACAAAAAGAGACAGACAATTCCTAGTTTTTTAGAGGGGTGGGGGAAAGTAATGATTTCTATTTTAGACATGTTGAGTCTGAGATAAATCTAGGACCTCCAGTTTGAGATGTCTAAAAAGCAATGCAGAACTGGAGCTTAGGAGAAAGACTAGAGCTGGATATACAGATCAGGAAATCATCTGTATAGAGATAATTCAGCCTCGGAGATGATGCGATCATCAAGTGAAATAGTATAAACACAAAAATGAAGAGACCCTAAGACAAAGCTTTGGGGGACATCTATAATTAATGGGCATGGCATGGATGATGAATCAGCCAAGGAGACTGAGGATAGCTGAACAGAAAGGAAGAGAACCAGGAGAGAAGTATGTCCCAAAAACCTAGACGGAATAAAGCATCAAGAAAGAAAAGGTGATCAACATTATCAGTGCTACAGAGAGGTCAAGATGGATGAGGTTTGGGAAAAAAAAAAAGGTCCTTAGATTTGCCAATTAAGAGATCACTGGTCATCCTAGAGAGAGTTATTCAGTTGATGAGGATGGAAGCCAAATTGCAGAAGACATAGGAGAGGAAGTGGAAGCACCGAGTACAGATGGCTTTCTCATGGAATTTAACCATGAAAGGTAGGACAAATATATGATAATAGCTAAAAAGAATAGTAGAATGAAGGTGGAAGTGAAGGTTTTCAATTGTGGGGAAGACACAGGCAGGTTTTGTAGGGAGCAGGAAAGGAGCTAGTAGAAAGTGAGAGAATGAAAATAAAAGAGAGTAACTGACTCAGTACGGAATTGCTTACTTGGAACCCCTGGTGGATTCTGAATCTCTCTTTTCTGGATATATAAGAAAGTGTCAAAGCTGAATGGTACATGCCTCATAATCAGCCCTGCTTCCCTTTGCTGTCCTATCACTAGTGGGAGTCTTTTTTTTTTTTAATGGGAATGTTCTTTTTTTTTGGGGGGGAATAATTTATTTTTAGTTTTCAACATTCACTTCCACACAATTTTGAGTTTTAAATTTTCTCCCCTTTCCACTCTTCTCCCTCGCCCAGTGGGAGTCTTAAAATAAAGTTTTTACTTATCTATTGGCCTACTTAAACACAGACTTTTGGTTTTTCCTAGTTTGGTTGACTACATTAACTAATTTATCTTAATTATAGGAAAGGGTAAAACCTGAGATTCTTTAAACATCTAAGAAAAGAACAACAAATGAGAATGACTGAGAATGTCTGTGATAAAAAAAAGCATTGGAAAAATAGTTTTTCAGTAATAGGCAATTATACGGTAACCTCTTACTCTTACACAACTGAGATTGTCACCACTTGCCTGGATGGACTATTTCCAGCAAATTTAGCTGATGTTCCCGGGATATTCTCATGGCTCTTTGTCTTTGAAGTTGCAACTGTAACCTGAGGTCCTCTTCTTCCTTCTGCTTCTTTAGTTTCAGCAGCTGTTTTTCTCGTTTATTTCTAATAGATGGAAGTATTAACAGAGACTTTAAAATAGTACTACAAAAATCATACAGCCATAAAAATGTCATTCAGTAACCAAAAATCTACATTGTCTTGGCGAACATCTGAAAAAATAGCTAGCATTCTTTAGTCATTACTACTCCTTTCTATCACCTCTAACATCCCTAGCAAAGAGAACCAGGATATATAAAGTCATCACTTTATAGGGTTTACATTTGTCTAGCACTGAAAACATTGTTTATTTTTTCTTTGCACACTGCTCGAAATTAGGACATCCCCTCACCAACTGAATAGGGATGCCCAGGCTATGATCTCATCATGAATGACCATACTTGCCTAATACTTAACAAGTCACTTATCCATTCAGGGCTTCAGGCAACTAAGGCTGGAAATTGTAGAAGAGACTCTGTGTTCTTTGAGATAGTTTCCTATACCAATAAAATCATAGTTTACCTTTCCACATGTCCAGCCCACCACCACTTTATTTCAAATTCAGTATGGCAATAGAAGGAGCAAAGGACTAGCAGTCAGCAAAAACAAATTCTAGTCTCAGCTCTAGTGAAAGTAGTTTCACTGAGCCAACTGGATCAAGTCCTCTTTGGGTCCTAGTGCTTTCTTTTGTAGACTATGGAGTCTGGACCCTGGGGGGAGGAAGAGGTTGAGAGCTAAGATTGAACAAGATGATCTTTAAAGGCCCTCCTTACTCTGAAACTGTATGATTATATAAGATTCATATAGAGTAAAATAAGCACAACAATGTTGAAACCATTCTTCAATTTTCAGGTATATTTTTCCCTTTTTGGTGGCCTCCTGCTTCCCATTTGGCACCCTACCTCACTGGGTATTGTTTGCAATATCCAAAGCCCCCTACTACAGAGTTATACAGTGGTTTGCCCTACAATCGTGTTTTTCTAATCTTTTCTCAATTATAATTACTTCTCTTTTTTCCCCATTTCCTCAGGGACAGTTTGTTAGACAAATAATGAATTAATCTGACAAAGTAATTTGTATTAAAATATTAACAGTTTAATGTATCCCTTCTCTCAGATTTGAACAGGGACTTAAAAATACCTTAACACAAAGGAAGATTTTGTTGTTACTGAGTTATTTTAGTCATGTCTGACTTTTTGTGACCCCATTTGGAGTTTTCACCATTTCCTTTCTCCAGCACATTTTACAGATGAGGAACTGAGGCACAGAGAGTTAAGTGACTTGCCCAGGATCACACACAGCTAGTAAGTATCCAAGGCCAGATTTGAACTCACAAAAATGAGTCTTCCTGACTCCAGACCCAGTGCTCTATCCACTGTGCCACCTAGCTACCCCACAAGAAAGGACTAACGTACAAATTCCTGTTAAAAGGGTGTATGTAGATAAGTGAGGAATTTTGGGCCAAGCAAACTGTTAGGAACCTCTCAAATTACATCATGTGGGAAGAGTTAACATTTCACTGTTATATTCCTTGCACAAGCAAAACCTTAAAGAAAAATGAAGATTGGCCACAAGTCTAACAAGAATTTCTAGAACAGCTGAAACATTAATGAAGGAGCTGAAAATGATTTAAAAAACCAAATGAGAGGGGTGTATAAAACCTCGCTGAAGAAACTAACTCCTTGAAAATCAGAATTAGCCAAATGGAAATTAATGACTCCATAAGACTCCAAAAAATAACATAACCACATCAAAAGGCTAAAAAAAGGTCACCTCATAGGAAAAACAAATGACTTGAAAATAGATTAAGGAAAGAATTTAAGAATCACTGAACTGACAGACGAGAACAAAAAAAGAGCCAAGACATCATATTTCATGGTACATTATAAAGGAAAACTGCCCAGGTATCTTAGAATCAGAAGGCACAGTAGAAACTGAAAGAATCCAGTAGACATTTTTTTTTCTTTTGCTTTTTGGTGAGGCAATTGGGGTTAAGTGACTTGCTCAAGATCACACAGCTAGTAAGTATCAAGCGTCTGAGGGTGGATTTGAACTAAGGTCCTCCTGACTCTAAGGCTGGCGCTCTAACCACTGTGCCATCTAGCTCCTCCCCAGTGGACATTTTTTGAAAGAAACACCAAAATAAAAAATTCAGAACTTGCAGGTCAAGGATAAAATATTGCAAGCAATTAGGGAAAAAACCCTCAAGTACTATGGAGTCCTAGTCTGGATCCCACACAATTTAACAGCCACCACTATTAAAAAGAGGAAGGCTTAGAATGTCATTCTAGAAGGCAAACGAAAAATAAACACAGAGTTAAAATAAGGGGCTGCAGAAGAATCTATTATGCTGCAGCTGAAATAAAAAAAGCAGGAATAGAAATAGTGAACAAAGCAATTTAGAGGAGCTATTTGCCCAACTATATGCCAATAAACTGACAGTCAAAATGAAATGGACAAAAATTTACAAAGATATAAATTGCCCAGATTAACAGAACAGGAAACAGAATAATTAAAATAACCTTATCTTAGAAAAAGAAATTGAACAAGTCATAAATTGCCTTGCCAAAAAAAAAAAAGGAAGGAAGGAATAAGAATACACACACAATTGGGTACAGAAACTCATCTTACCCAACAGGGAAGTAGGAGAGAAATGGCTTAAGAGAAAGGGCAAGAGGGGAAATATTAAGAAGAAGAAAAATTAAGGAAGGCAATGGTCAAAAGCATATCTAGAATTATAACAAAGAATAATCTACACAAAAAAACTGAACATAAAGGAGGAAAAACTAACATATAACAAAATAAAGGACTTTCAAGCATTCCTGATGAAAAGACCAGAGCTGAACAGAAAATCTGACATTCAAATACAAGACTCAAGAGAAACATAAAAAGATAAAAATGAGTGAGGGACTAACATAAGAGACTAAACAAACTATTTACATTCTTCTATGGAGAGATGATACATGTAATGCTTCAGAAGTTTATCATCACCAGGGATCTTAGAGGGTGTCTAATTAGACAGAAAGCCTGGGTATAATTCTATTATGTTTGATTTCAAAAGAAGAATAGAAGGGTGGGGAAGAGGAGTGCAATATGAAAGGAGGGAAGGGAGAAGAATAGGGGAAATTATCTCACATAAATAAACACAAGAGGAATACAAGGAAGAGTTTATAAAACAGAAGTGATACTGAGAAAAGCAGACACATTTGAATTGGTTCAAGAAGGAAGGAACAGGGGCAGCTGGGTGGTGCAACAGATAGAGCACTGGTCCTGGAGTCAGGAGGCCCTAAGTTCAAATGTGACATCAGACACTTGGCACTAGCTGTGTGATTCTGGGCAAGTCACTTAACCCCAATTGCCTTGCCAAAAAAAAAAAAAAAGGAAGGAAGGAATAAGAATACACACACAATTGGGTACAGAAACTCATCTTACCCAACAGGGAAGTAGAAGAGAAATGGCTTAAGAGAAAGGGCAAGAGGGGAAATATTAAGAAGAAGAAAAATTAAGGAAGGCAATGGTCAAAAGCAAAACAGACTCTTAGAGATGTGAAAGGGTAAAAAAAGAGCAGGATAAATAAAAGAAAATAGGATGGAGGGAAATACAAAATTAGCAGTCATAACTATGAATGGGCTCAATTCACCCACAAAACAGAAGAAGACAGTAGAATGGATTAGAAGCCAGATTTCAACAATATGTGTTTACAAGAAACACACACTTGAAACAGAAGAATAAACACAGAGTTAAAATAAGGGGCTGCAGAAGAATCTATTATGCTGCAGCTGAAATAAAAAAAGCAGGAATAGAAATAGTGAACAAAGCAATTTAGAGGAGCTATTTGCCCAACTATATGCCAATAAACTGACAGTCAAAATGAAATGGACAAAAATTTACAAAGATATAAATTGCCCAGATTAACAGAACAGGAAACAGAATAATTAAAATAACCCTATCTTAGAAAAAGAAACTGAACAAGTCATAAATGAACTCACTAAGAAAAAAATCCCAGTACTAGAAGGACTGACAAGAAAATTCTATAAAACATTTAAAGAACAATTAATTCCAATGTTACATATATCATTCCAAAAATAATTAAAGGAGCCCTAACAATTTCCTTCTATAACACAAATATGGTCTTCATACCTAAACCCATGAGAGTCAAAACAGAGAAAGAAAACTATAGACCAATTTCTCTAATAAATATTAATGCAAAATTTTTAAATAAAATACTATCAATACAAAGATCATTCATTATGACCAGGCTAGATTTATAACCAGGAATGCAAGGCTGGTTTAATATCAGGACAATCTGAAGTATATAACTGATCCTATTAACAACAAAAATTATATGATAATTTCAACTGATGAAGAAAAAGCTTTTCGACAAAATACAACATTCATTCTTGTTAAAAATACTAGAAAACAAAAAAAAGACATCCTTCCTTATTATAAATATCTATTTAAAACTAAGAGCAAGCATTTTGTGTAATGGGGATAAGCTAGAAGCCTTTCCAATAAGATTGGAGTGAAGCAAGGATGTCCATTATTACAATTATTACTCAATATTATATTAGAAATGCTAACTATAGCAATAAGACAAGAAAAAGAAATTGAAGGAATAAGCATAAGCAATAAGGAAAGAAAATTATTACTTTTAAAGATGACATGATGGTTCACTTAGAAAACCCTAGACAGTAAAATAAAAAACTGATACATTTAACAATTTTAGCAAAGTTGTAGGATATTAAAAAACCCCACATAAATCATCAGCATTTCTCTACATTAACAGAAAAATCTAGCAGGAAGAGATAGAAAGGGAAATTCCATTTAAAATAATTACAGGCAGTATAAAACACTTAGGAGTCTACCTGCCAAGACACACAAAGGAATTATATGAACATAATTACAAAACACTCCATACAAATAGAGACAGATCTATATAAGTGAAGAAATATTAATTGCTCATAAGGTTGAGCCAATAAAAAATGACCATATTACCTAGTTTAATTTACTTATTCAGTACCATACTAACTGAAGATGTGAGAAAAAATAAAAACAAAATTCATCTGAAAGAATAAAAGTTAAGAATATCGAGGGAATCAATGGAAAAAAAGTAAGGTAGGGGCTAATATTATCAGATCTCAAAGCTGTAACCAGCAAAACAATTTGATACTGAGCAAAATGGAGAGGTTGATCATCAGAAAAGATTAGGTTCATAATACAAAAAAAAAATGACCACAGAATACTAGTGTTTGTTAGACCCAAAGATCCTAGCTTTTGGGGAAAGAACTCACTATTTGACAAAAACTGGAAAAGTAACCTGGCAGAAACTATATATAGACCAACAGTTCACACCATGTAACAAGATAATCTAAAATTTACAAGAATAAAAGCAATTCTACAATTGATAAATGATTCAAGGATATGAATAGGGCATTTTCAGAGGAAGAAATAAAAGCTATCAATAAACATATGAAAAAATGCTTTAAATCTCTAGAGAAATCATTAGAGAAATCTAAAATAAAATAACTTTGAAGTACCACCTCACACCTATCAGATTGGCTAACATGAGCTTGATTTTGATTCTTGGCTAAATCCTAGAACATACTACCAAAAGGATGGTGAGTGAACATGTGGAAAAGGAAATGGTGATAGCAAAGAACAAGAAACAAAGTGGGTGTCCACCAATTTAGGAATGGCTGAATCAACTATGATAAATGGATATAATGGAATATTACTGTGCAATTAAAAAGAATTAATATGAATAATCCCAATAAACAAGGAAAGATGTATATTAACTGATGCAGCATGAAATAAGAAGAGAAAGAAGATATTCAGTGACTACAATAATGAAAAAAGTACTAAGAGGAAACTGAATTCAGAGTTATCCTAATAACTCTTGGTCTTAGAGAACAACTAATAAAATGTATTTTCCTTCTCTTTGCAGAGGCAGGGGGATAGTAGGACATAATGTTACAAACACTAGCAGATAAAGTCATTTTATCTGTTGTTTTTACATACATATCTTCTGTGTTACAAGGGACAGTTTAATTTTAGGGATAGGAATTATATCCAGAAATGACTATGATGAAGAAGCAAGAAGGAAGCAATAAAATTTATTGAAACAGAAAAGAAAGCACTGGCCATTAAAATCTAGTATAATTTCATCAAAAATAGGTAATGCCAAACTCACCTCATTTCCTTTTACTGATAGGTTTACTAGACTAATAGATCACAGAAATCTAATAGGTTTGGTATCCTTGGGTTGTAGGCAAAGCACTTAATGAAATCTCCCATTATCCTCGTTGACAAGTTAGAAAGATGTGGGCTAGGTTGACTGAGAGCCAGTTGAATTACTAAGGAATAGCTCTAATAGACCAATATTGATTTGGAAAGATCTTAGAGGAATGCTTCAAGGATCTATGTTTGACCATTGTGCATTTTTTATTTATTATTTTTTTATCAATATTTTTATCAAGGATGTGAGTGAAGGTATAAGAGGAATGCTTGTTAAATTTGAAAACAACACAAAAATCGGAAGGATAAGTAATATCGAATGACAGATTTGTGATTCAAAAAGATCTTAAGAAGATCAAGCTGAATCTAATGAGGTAAAATTTAATAGGGATAAATATAGGATTCAACAATCACCTTCACAAAAACAGAATGGGGGAAACTTGGTTAGACAACCATTTGTGTGAAAGACATTTGGGTTTCTTTTTACTGGCCTGCAAGCTCATTATGAGTCAACAATGTGAGGTGGCAGCTGAAAAAAAAAAAAAAAACCTCATGTGATTTTACGGGGCATTTCAGAGAGAGAGACAGACAGACAGCATCCAGGCACCAGTTCCCATCATATTCTGCCCTGATCAGACCACATCTAGAGTATTATGTATAATTCCTGATACATTTTAGGAAGAACACTGTAAGCTACAGAGTATAAAAAGAGGGGTAACCAGAATGGTGGGGGGTGGGGGCTATAAATCATGCTATAGATAACTCAACAAGCATTTATTAAATACCCATTATGTAACAGCAACTATGCTACGTCCTGGGGAAACAAAGGCAAGAATGAAATAGTCTCGGCCTGGGGAGAAAACCCCCCACAAAATCCACGTATATAGACAAATTAATATATATAGGGATAAAGATTTGATCTGTGATTTGAGTGATTAAAAGGAACTCCCAAATGGTGAAACTCCCTCTACCAATACAGATCTGCATCTTATCATTATAATTCCTAGAACACTGCAAGGTTAAGTGACTTGCCCAGGGTCACAAAGACAGTATATATTGGAAATGGGACTTGAACACAGGTCTTCTTGGTTCCTAGTTAAACTTTCTATCCCCTAAAATACACACACATACACACAAACACACACATACAGTAATAAGAGGAGAATAACAAGTAGGTGAATCAGGAAAGGCCTTCTGAAGGAGGTGGCACTTAAGCTGAGTCTTGAAAAGAGACAGAGACTCCAAGAAGCAGACAGAAGGAAGACAGAGGCCCAGGGGAGGCAAAGGAGAGGTAAGGGAGAAAGTATGTGGGGAAATATTGGAAACAGAAAATGGGATGTTATGTAGGAGGAACAAAAAGGCCAGCTGGGCTAAAATCTTAGAGGGTGTAAGGGGAGCAATGTATAATCATCTTGGAAAGGTTGAAACTATATTCTGAAGGACTTTAATAACAAACTGAGGAGTTTATACTTGATCTTAGAGACAACATAGTCCAAATAAAGCCACTAACGTTTCTTGAACAGGGGAGTAACATGGTCAAAATTGAGCTTTAGGAATATTCATCTGGTAGCTATGTGAAGCCTGAATCGGACAGGGGAGAAGCTAGAAGCATAGACAAACTAAGAGGCTACTGCAATAATTCAACTGAGAGGTGACGAAGACCAAACTATGGTGGTTAACTATATAGACTAGAGAAAAAGGAACATGATAAGGAATCAGAGAACTTTGTGGAGAATATATACAAAAATGTAACTACTAAAATACCGTTGCTAAGCCATCTTCTGCTAGGAACTGGACAACATTTGTCTTACTACTCTCCACAAAGTTGGTAAGGCCTGCATCATGACACTCTGTTTCCTGCTAGTGGAAGCTGTGCAAGAGAGAAGGCTGTATTTCATTTGCAAAATTGTGAAGCACCATCAATGACCCCAAGCTTCTCTCTGAAAGAAAGTGTCACAATTTTGAGCATCAGTATTTTTCTGGTGATAATTACAATTCATGGAATATCACAGTCTACAAGGAATCAAAACTGTGGGTCACCCAAATATGTAGTAGGTGTAAATGGGCTGTGGCATATCATAAATGCTGAAGTATGTACACGATGTTAAGTTAAAGATGTAACGAAAAGATTACATAAACAGAAAAAAAGTAGGTGAGTTATATAGTAAAAACAATGGACAAAAAAGAACAATAAGAAATGAAAACAGAATGAAAATGAAAACTCCAATCCTTTATACTATATTTTAATACCTTCCCCCTTTCCCTTACTTTTTTTGGTCATATTTTTCTTTCATACTCCCTTTTCTTAAAAGTATACTTTAAGAATTGAGGAAAAATATTTTATATTCCTAAGTTTGCCTTGAGATTTGGTATAATTTTATTTGACAAACAATCACATGCTTTATGTTAGGGTGATTTTTGCTTATTTCAACCCCTCGCTTTAAATATGACATGACTTGTTGACTAGCTCCAGGAAACATTATTGTTTTAATCTTATCATAACTGAGAAATGCAGCTGGTGGATTTAAGTTACTGAAAGCAGAATAGTTTCATATGTATAATTTGTTAACTGCTCCTGATTAGGAAGTTTCACCTGCAAGTTTCCATGCCAAATAAAGTCAGATCTAAACACCAATACAGAGATGTCCTGAAAGCTCATTTTTACTACTCTTTCCAATGCTTCAAAGAATGTGTGTATGTGTATATTTACATTTGCACACTAAGGGGTAAGGTGGGGTGGAAAAAGACAGTAAAACCAGAAATTTGCCCAAGTTTTTTTTTAGCATTCTAGTCTTGCTCTTGCTCTTACCATAATTAAGTAGATAACAGATATTATTATAGATATTAGGGACTGAACCAGTCAGAGAATTATCCACTACCCAGCTCCCTCTACAAATACAGGCCTGACTCATTAGAATCTTATACAGGGAAACATCACCAAGTCCCTGCCATCTTATGCCCCAACCTGAAAATCTGCTTGAGCTGAAGAAGTTACCTCAGAAATTAGTGAGAGCCAATTAAATAAAACAAAGGGATTCAAAAATCACTAAAACTTCAGTTTCATCTATATATCTCTCTGACAGAGCTGTCTCTACTCACTGATTGACCTTCATTCCTCTTTTCCAAGACATGTAAAGAACTCTACAAACCTTAAAGTGCTACCTAAATGCGAGTTATTATTGTTACTATTATTATTGCTGTTCACATTCCTTTACCTGAAATTCCTCTGCAAAGTAGTCACCGCATATGGAAGTTTCTTCATTCTCTTTCTAGTCTGAAAACCCTTCCATGCAGCCTGGATCTTGCAAGCTGCTTGATAAAACTTCTGAAATTTAATACCAGAAAAAGAACTTAAAGGATTTTATTTTCATTTCAGTTCTTGAAAAACGAGTCTTAACAAGAAGTTTTTATCTCAAACAGGAAAGATGGGAGGTAACACCTGCTTTATAATGAACACTGCTGCTCATACTCAGAGCAGCCGTAAAAAGGAAAGCTTCTCTTTTCAACCTATATTGTAATAAGTTATGCAAACAGTAGTTAGAGAATATCTAAAAAGATTAATTCAGCACAACCAGCAATTTAAAGGGCAACTTCAAAACTTATCTCCAAAATGTCTTTTTTGATTAACCATCCATACATTATTGTCCTCTCTGGTGGGTTTTATTACTCTGCTTATTTCAATGCTGTCTAATACTTGATTCTTTGTGCCTTTAAATCATTAGAGAATTTTTGCAGCACAGTCTTATATCTCATACTGACAAAGGGAATGACTGAAGAAGTAGCAACAACAGGCAGAAGGTTCTACAACTGCTCTTAAAAAAATATCCAGGGGCAGCTAGGTGGCACAGTGGATAGAGTACCGGCCCTGGATTCAGGAGGACCTGAATTCAAATTTGACCTCAGACATATAACACTTACTAGCTGTGTGACCCTGGGCAAGTCACTTAACCCCACTGCCTAGCCAAAAAAACAAAACAAAACAAAACAAAAAAACAAAAACAAAATATCCAGAAGATCAGTCAAGATGATAGAGTAGCAAAAAGAAGTACAATTAAACTCTCCACAAAGTACGACTATTTCACAAAGATTTGACAATACATTAGACTGAATTCTGATCAGGAAATCCAAGAAAAAAACAGTCCCAGTGAATGCTATTTCCAGCCCAGATCATCACAGGGAGAAAGAGAGAAAGATCTGTCTACAGTGGGGACGAGGTCTTGCCATGAACATCTGAAGAAGGGCCTGCCTCTAGCAATGCCTATGGCAAGAAGAGGGCCCAGTCCTGGCTCAGAGGAGCCTGACTTTGTGCAAGAAGCAGGGACAGGTGGTACCTGACAGCTCTGTCACTCACTCCTCCTCAGGGTTGGGTCACAGATTAAGATGGAGGAGAGGCTTCTGGATGTCCAGGGCAAGAAGTGATCCCAGGCCTTCAGATGTGTATTGCAAATACAGAAGCAAACAGTAGTTCTGTGGCTCTGAGGCCAACAAAAAGTTCCAAGTCAGAAAGTAACAAAGAAAGAATGAGCAAACAAACAAGAATTATACCATAATGAGCTATTTTGGGACATTCAAGACACAAACCAAGAGAATGATACGCAAAGCCTCAAAGAAAAACAGAGCTTGGTTATAAGTTCAACTAGAATTTCTGAGAATGATGAAAAAAATAGTCTTTAAAAAAGAGCTTAAAATGATTTTGTAAATTAAATGAGTACATTTGAGAGAAAAATGGAAAATAAAAAAGAGCTATGTCAAAAATAATTAGAAAGATAATTAACAGCTTGGATCAAGAGGTATAAGGTCTTACCCAAGAATCAGACTCCTTGAAAATTAGAATAGAGCAAATAGAAGTTAATGATTCCAGGAGGTAAATATTAAAACAAAGTCAAAAGACTGAGCAAAACAGGAGAAAAGGTAAGGTATTTCCTGGTAAAAACAATTAACCTAGAAAACAAATCAAGGAGAAAACATTTGAGAATTCTTGGACTACCTGAATGCTATAATCAGAAAAAGATATAATATTTAAAGAAATCATATAAGAAAACTGCCCTAGATCCCTTTGAACCAGAAGGAAAAGTGAAAATAGAAAGAATTTACTGGTCACTGCATGAATGAAACTACAAAAATAATATTCTAAGGAACATTACATTCAAAATCTAGAACTTCAAGGTCAAAGAAAAAGTACTGCAAGCAGCCAGAAAGAATTAAAGTATCAAACAACCAGAGTCAGGATTATTCATGATTTAGCAGTCAATACTATAAAGGAGGGAAGAGCTTAGAAAATGATATTCCAGAAGACAAAGGATATAAAGCTTACAAACAAAAATAACCTATCAAGCAAAATTGAGTATAATGGTACAGGGGAAAAATGGACCCTTAATGAAATAGAAAACTTGCAAATATTCCTGATGAAAAGATCAGGGCTTTGTAGAAATCTCAAAGTTCAAACATAGGAATTAAGAGAAACATAAAATGGTTGATGTGAATAAGCAATCATAAGCAACTAAATAAGGATAGACTTGTCATACTGTATAGTGCCTGGCACATAAGTAGGAACCTAATAAATGCTTACCGACAGACTAATGTGAGAAAGGAAAAGGGAAGGGGGAAAGTATTTATAAAGTGCCTACTATGTACCAGGCACTATGCTAAGCACTTTTTACAAATACTATCTCATTTTATCCTCACAACAACCCTGCAAGGAAGGTACTATTATTATTATTAATCCCATTTTATAGTTGAGGAAACTGAGGCAAACAAAGGTTAATGACTTGCTCAGGATCACAGAGCTAATAAATACATGAGGTCAAATTTGAATTCAGGTCTTCCTGATTCTAAGCCCAGCACTCTACTCTGCTACCAGCTGCCCACAATAATATAGGAAGATGATAAATCTGTTGCTTCAAACCCTATCATTGTCAGGAGTCTAATTAGGTGGAGAGCATAGGAATTTTTTAAAAATGTTTTGATGATGTTAAAAGAAGAAACGAGTTAACATATCCTGACAAAACTATAAGTTCCTTGAGGTCAGGGACTGTCTTTTGCCTCCTTTTCGTATCCCCAGCGCTTAGCACAGCGCCTGGCACATCGTAAGTGCTTAATAAAGGTTTATTGATTTGATGTTTCTAAAATCTGCATTTCTAAGAATCTGACATCAAAGGAATCATAAAACCAACATAAAATAAAAATACAAGTAGTATGACACATTTAAATTATTTAAAACTTAAAATTATCCTTTAAATCCCATGAAATATGCTAGAGGCCCAGCTCCCATATAACTATTCCTGTAAAAACCTCTGAAGTTCACATCAAACTGCATCATGATTAAGACATCCAGCGAGAAGCCATACTAAGTTATTTCTGGTACTCTAGAACTGCACAAAAGTTACCCAGCATCCTATGGACAACAGGAAAGTCATCTTTCTGCCACTCTACCAGTAAAGACAGTGTAGGCAAACAAGTAGAGTCTCACAGGGAGTTCAGAGGCTGCCAGGAACTAGCAGAAAGCCTCAAAGTGGGAATCTTCAAGCCCCAGGGAACCACAGGAACCAGCAACCAGCACAGTGCCACAGCCCTCAGACATAAGAACTCTGAGGTCCCTAACACTCTGTTCTAAAACACCAAAGAAAGTCCTGAACACAAAATATCCTGGACCTCAAAGATACAGGCAAACACAGGAACTCAATGCAAAGCCAAGCAGGGAAACTTGTGGTAGGGACAGGAACATGAACTTGGCACTAAAAGCCAGAGATGAGTAAATGAAAGGAAACACTAGCAAGTGTTAAAAATTACTGTAGACCTAAAGATTCTCAAAAAGGAGTTAAGTAACTTCCTAACAGTTATAAGCAGAGACCTAAAGGGAAAAAGTGGATTTTCCACAGAGATTATATAGAACAAATGAAGAAGAAATTAAAAATAAAGAGCTCTTGAGAAAAGAACTAAAAGGAGAATAAGCGCCTTAGCAGACAAAATGGTAAGCTTTACCCAAGAAATGGATTCCCTGAAAATTAGAATAGGTCAAATAGAAGTCAACGACTCCATGAGAAACCAAGAAATACTAGTATAAAATCAAAAGACTGAAAAAATAGAAGAAAATGTAAAATATCTGATAGAAAAAAACAACTGAACTGGAAAACAAGTCAAGGAGAAATAACTTAAGAATCACTGTGTTTCCTAAAAGCCAAGAGTATTTTCAAAAGGTTGGACACTATTTCAAGAAATCATGAATAAAAACTGCTCAGATCCATTAGAACCAGAGAACAAAGTAAAAATAGAAAGAATCTTGCAATCACCTACAGACAGAAATCCCAAAAGCAAAAGTCTTAACAATGTCATAGCCAAAATCCAGAGCTTCCTCATCAGTGAATAAATATTGCAAGTTTTTGGAAATAAGCAATTCAAGTACCAAGAAACTTAGTCAAGATCACTACACACCATACAAGAGCACTGTGTGGATCCTTTTTGCTTGACTATGCTTATTTGTTACAAGAATTTTTTCTTTCTCTAGGTCTTTTAAATTATCGTGTGTGGCGAGGGGAGAGAAGGAGTTAGCAATACTGATGCCTGCCCCGCCCCTAAAAAAAGAGGACCACTGAAACTTTTAAAAAAATGAACAGAAGAAAAACAAAAGGAAATTCAGAAAGAAGTACAGACATGGAGTACAGCTTTGAAAGTTATATGTGGAATTTATTATATACTTTAAAAAAAAGTAGTATGAAATAGAGATTCATGATTTCATAGGCAGTCTTCTTTACATTTTTCTGCTATAACTTTGGAAATGCTCTTTTAGAGGGCCTAAGTTCAAAACTTAAAAATATTTTTTTAAAAAGTACAAGTTATAATAAATGCAGGTTGTAACAAATATGCATATTTGCAAAATGTCTATTACATTGAAAGGCAAAAAGGATGACAAAATTATTGTAAGTGAAAGGGGAAAAGGCATTGATAAGATAATATTTTAGTACAAATTCTGACAGGTGATATAGTAACACCTATACACCATAAAGCAGAGAGTTGAATAGTCTACAGTAATTTGAAATCAAAATATCATCAGTTTGGAGTTAATTATAAATAGGATATGTATTTGTAGGCTGGGAGTATTAATCTGAGGGGCAAAGACCTCACCAATCTGATAACATTTCTCAAAGAGAAGCATATTTACTAAAAGTATTAGAAGAGAATATAGAAAATAAAAAAGTCAAGTCAATTAACAAACATATTATGTTAATTATTCAATACCTGATCTTCTTCCTGGTAGACTTCAGAAGATAACAGACTGTGAAGCTGTTTAAGTTCTTGGTCAATTTCTTTTCCAGACCACTGCTTATTTAGCATACTTTTAAGTCCTAGAAATTAATTTTCAAAGGCATTCTTATTTTAAAACAGATTGTTCTTCAACTAATTATCAGAAAAGCATTTGTATCAAAGTTATGACTTTTAAATAAAAAAGCAGTCACTGTATTTTCCCTTTCTCAGTGTCAAAACTAAAGTGTCAAGATTCTTTCTATCCTAATCCTAATAAAAGCCAAGGTAATAGACTTGAGGGTTACCAGACAATATATTTAAATCGACCAGTGAACTCAAATATAGGAGAAACCACTAAGTAGAGGTACAGATGAAGAACAGGTACATGTCTCTGCTTGAGGACACACAGAAATAAGAATGTACTGAGTTACTAACAGATGGTTAGTACTAAAGGAAGGGTCTAAGTTAAGTAAAGATGTTATTCTCCTGTGCAGTTTCTAGCAAATTCACAGGCTCCTTGGCAACATCCAAAATTTTAGATAAGAGGTGCTGTAATATTAACTGTGACTCTGTTTTCTCAATTGAGAAAAGTACTCATGTAAATTCTGTAACTCTGTTTCTAAGAGGTAAAATAGAGATAAGGCATAAGGTGTCCAATACATATTCCCAATGCACATTAGTGTTTTCCACAGGTGAGAAAGACGATGTAGCATGAGCAACAGGCAAAGTCAGGTTTTCTAGGGTTGGTATAATTTCCTTTAAGCTAGCCAATCTTTTCTAAGCTTCAGAATCTCTTTACTGGACAAAGTCTTCAACACCGATACTAATTCCAAAAATCGTGGGTGGGATATACAACTAACGTTACTCAGATACTATTTAGAAAAAGCAAGAAAAATTATGATGGTCAAATTCTACTATAATAAGTTCCATGAAGCATTCACATTTTGTAATTTGAGAACTTTTAATAAAGCATTTTCTCCTTAGCATTATAACCAAAAGTTCTAGCTATCCCGCCTTAACTATACAAACCTCATACCCAAAGTTATTATTTAGTTGTTTTCAGTTGTGTCTGACTTTTTGTGACCCCATTTTTGATTTGTTTTTTTTTTGGGCAGTTGGGGTTAAGTGACTTGCCCAGGGTCACACAGCTAGTACGTGTCAAGTATTTGGTCTGAGGCCAGACTTGAACTGACGTCCTCCTGACTTGAGGGCCGGTGCTCTAGCCACTACACCACCTAGCTGCCCCTGGCTTTTTTTTTTTTTTAGCAAAGCTATTAGAGTGGTTTGCCATTTCCTTCTCCAGGTCATTTTACAGATAAGGAAACTGAGGCAAACAGGGTTAAGTGATTTGTCCAGGGTCATGCAGCTAATAAGTGTCTGAGGCCAAATCTGAACTTAGGTCTTCCTGACTTCAGATATGGCTCTCTATGTACTGTGCCACCTAGCTGCCCCCATGTCTGTGGCACCCAAAGCTAAATGATGTTCATATTAATGACTCTGGTGCCATCCCTCTTAAGTGATTTCTGAATCATGAAAGATAAATTATATTCACTATTGTTTTAGTGTTAAGTATATTTGGATTCTAATAGAAATACTATATTCCAATTCCTTCAAAATCTATGGTTTAATGGTATATACTATCAGTTTTGGTTGATGTCTTGGTTAATTTAACTAAATTGGTTTTTTCCCCTCTTTTATTCTTTGTAACAAGGGATGGCTTTCAGGACAGGGGTGAAGGAAGAGATAAGATTTGGAAATGAATGGGATATAAAAACAAGAGATATCAATAAAATTCTTATCTAAAATAGCAAAATAAATTCATGTTTTACCTAAGAATGCATAATTAGCCAGAGCTCCCTATTTTTGAGAATATTCAGTAACAGAATTTATTGGATTAAATACATTATTCTCATTTGTGTGAACTGGAGATGGAACAGAAAGTCACAAGTGGCAAATTATAAAGTCAGAAGGCCAAAGGGAAAGGCAAAGAAAAACTCTCTCCAACCTTTCCTCTTAGCTTCTCGATCTACTCCTGTGTTATTTCAGAGTTGTTCCTCCCCTCTCCTCCCACTGCCCCGGTTAGGGCCAAGGGAGAGCGAAGCAGAGAAAGTTGAGGTTGGCTAAGAAAGTTGAAGGATAACTGCTACTTGATGAAAGAATAAAAGTATCATGAAAAGCTCAACTATACTTCAGTTACTTTCCTTATCTATCTGTTGTGTCAAGAGAACAAAATCAGGTACGACTAAAATTCCCTTCTGCAACCTTCTGTGATTTCATTTGTCTAGAGAAGTCTCAACATAAAAACTTCCTTAATTAAAGCAGACCTGCAACTGTCTTGCAACTTAAAGTCTTAAATATTTGCCTGGACTCACATGTAGAAAAATATTTACAGCAGCTCTTTCTGTAGTGGCAAAGAACTGGAAATTGAGGGGATGCCCATCAATTGGGGAATGGCTGAATAACTTGTGGTATAAGAATGTAATGGAAATACTATTGTGCTATAAGAAATGATGAGCAAGCAGATTTCAGAAAAACCTGGAAAGACTTTGAACTGATGCTGAGTGAAGTGAGCAGAACCAGGAGAACCCTGTACACAGCAACAGCTACATGACTAATGTGAAAACACGTTTAGTAGGAATGTACATGTAGTGCCTATATCAGATTGCATGCCATCTTGGAGAGGGAAGGGCACAAAATTTAAAATTCAAAAGCTTATGGGATTGTTGAAAACTAAAAATAAATAAATAAATAAATAAATAAATGAATGAATGAATGAATGAATGAATGAATGAATGAATGAATGAATGTTTGCTTGGAATACTATGTGGTTCAGTGACTAACCCAGGATCACAGATATAGCATATATTAGATGCAGGATTTAAACCCAGAAGGATCTTCTTGACTCCAAGGCTAGCCCTCTAGCATTACTCCAGGCTCATTTTTCAGAAAATAATGACATGGATAGAGAATGTCACCAAAGCACTAGAGGCAGGCCATCTGTTAGGACAAAAAAATGGTATTTTACTGGTACACCTCAATTCTTTCTTTCTCATAATAGCTGCACTTCCATTCAAATACCTATCAGTAAAATGCTTTTGTTTTACCAATCTCAAGACCAAAAAAATGCTGCATACATTACCTGTATACCGACTTCTTAGCAGCACTAGAATTTCTGGTTGAGATTTGGCCACCAACAGCAACAGTTTTATAGCAATACTTCCAATGACAAGACTCGTTGAAGACGAAAGCTTAAAAATAAGTTCATCTAAAATTGAATGAAGGGCTTTTTCTTTTATTGTGAGCAAGTCTCCACTAATAAAACAAAAAGAAATCCAAAGAACATTAGCAGCTGAAGCACATGTTAAAATTAATTTCATAAAAGTTCCACTTCTCTGATAACTGACCACAAAACAGTAGTTTGATTTAATGGGGATTACCAATCCTGAAACACATTGCTTGGCTTTAAAGATGCATCAACTCCTATCAACAAGTATTTTTTGACTGCTATGTGCAAGGTACCATGCTAGGCACTGCTAATGATAAAAAATATATAAGTCAAGGTCTATCCCTTCAAGGGGGTTGTGATTTAGGTGGAGACAAGAAAAAATTTAAATGATGATAAAATATTTGGCAATTATTTACTGCCTTGTGACAGCTCAATTCAAGTTATACTGTTACCATGTTACTCAAACAAGTTTAAGCCCTACAGTCATTATCTATACAGTTTATCTAGCTAATTAATCATGCACTATCTTGTGACACTGTCTTGAACAGAGGAAAATGTTACAAAGCACCGTTAATGAATGAACATTTATTAAGCATTTATCACTGTGCTAAATCCACTGGGGATACAAACAGAAAAAATGAGAGTCCCTAATCGCAAGAACTCATACCCTAATTAGGGGAGATAACATATACAGTTCAGCTACAGAGTGAATTAAAGTCCTAAGGATGCAGGGAGAAGGTGGATGGAAAGACCCAGAAGTCCTTAAGGTACATCACTAGGTTTCATGACAGTGTGTAGGGAGAGTATGAAGCGCAAAGAGGCATGGCAGATGGTAAGGCCCAGAGGGCTGATGGTGGCTCTCCATCTCACTAAAGTATTAAAGCAGGTATTTCTCATCTCTTCCAAGAGCAAGATCTCTTCCTGACCAGCTGCCCTATGGGGTCTGGGTTGCCAGGGGATTGGAGCAGAAGTAGAAAAGGATGAGGAGGGGGCGGTGGGGAGAGCGAGAGGAGAATTGTGCCCAAGCAGGTACATCATTGAGAGCCAAATGAACTGAACGGATGATGACTAAAACTTTAACAAATCTGATAGACATGGCCACAGGATGACTATGTGAAACAACCACTACCACTTTTTCCCACCCACTCCATCTCTAATCTTTGGCAGTCTAGTACTATAGGATGATCATCTAATCAGGTCAATCTCCTGACTGTTCCCCAACAAGTCTTCTTTTAAAGCTTTCTTCTTTCTGACTGGGAGGTCCTCTCCACTAATTCAAGCCCATAACCTCTTTCAAGATCCAGTTTGAAATTTACTGCCCCAAAATACTTTCACTGACTAATCCCACAACAATTTGATGTCTCTTTTACTTGATGCCCCATTAGAGGTGATACATATGGTATCATCATGACCTCTAAGGTTCTAACTGGCTTCAACTCTACAATGTGTTCAAATGTCACTTCACAATTGTTTGTTAGTTCCTTGAGGTTTATATGCTTAGTTTCTCAAGCCACCAAACTGATTGAGCCCTCTTTTCCTCTGTATTCCTCCACAGTAACTAATACTGTTTTGTTGAGCACTTCATGTGATCAATTAATATTTACTAAATGGACTGTATAGGGGCAGCTAGATGGATAGTGGATAGAGCTCCAGCCTTGGAGTCAGGAGGACCTGAGCTCAAATCCAGCCTCAGACACTTAACACTTACTAGCTGTGTGACCCTGGGCAAGTCACTCAACCCCCCAACTGCCTCACCCAAAAGCAAAAAATAAATAAATAAATGGACTATATAACGCAGGATTTTACACTGTGCTCCTGATCATCCTCCGCATACTGGGGAGAGAAAAGAAACACCTACTGTTCTGATCATGTTTTGGGAAGTACTACTTTCTGGCACTTCTGGGCTCTAAAAGGAAAAAGAGTTCCATTTGCATATTAAGTTTTCAGCACCCTATGATTCTGTCTTTTTATTTTTTTTCTGTGACAAATATCATTATTTCTCAAGTGTCAGGCACATAGAATATAAAATAGTTTACTTTCTAAAAATTGATATAAGTTAAATATACTTCAGAGAAAAAAAATTACATGAACCAAGTTACCTTTTGACTTGTAAGATGGTCTGTAGTACGGTCATGACTGCAGATCCTGTTTCAACATCATCAGTTAGCAACAAATGTAAAAAATGATCACTTTGTAGTACTGTAGGAATAGAAGGAAAAAAATCAAAGAAATGAATACCGACAAGGCAAATATGAAGCTTCAAGTGACACATCAGCATTAAAACTTTTCCAGTGTCTAAATACAGTACTTCCTGCTCTTTCTTTATACTCTACAACAGGCCTGTACAGCATATGGCCCGAAGGCCACTTGTTGCCCGCCAAAGATTTCAGTACCTCTGAAAAATGTAAGGTTGCCACTGTGTACTTTCCTGTTTATCACATGACCCACAGCAAACAACCATCATCTGTCTGTCTCTAATGTAACCTATCTGCAGCCCGAAGAAGTTTACGAGTCATGCAGGTCTGCTCAACGATAGGGTTTCTAAAGGCCAACAGTTTCATAACCATAAATACAAATCATATCAGTTTTAGTGATTGTATGAACTCTGATTTTCAAATTTGTAACTACCACAGATCAATGAACTTACATTATGAGTTGTTCTTTTTTTTAATTTCATGAACTGTTTAAAGTGTTCTTCATTTAAATGATTCTCTTTCATTTAAAAAAATGCTTAAGGAAGTTCAAAGGTAGCAACAGTATGCAGGGCATTGTTGATACTTCCATTTCAAACTTAACACATTTTTTTAACAGCTATATGTAATAGACTGAGTTTCATTTGTAATCCTTTTTCTACTCTTCTTTGAATATGGAGATGTTAACATGTTTGATTTTCCAGTTCATAATAATTTTTTAAAAAAGAATGCTTAGATTTCTGGGAAAATGATTCTGAAATTGAAGCATGCCTGTTTCAAAGTTTTATATATAGGTTATTCCTATTTTTGTCATTTATTATAAAAATATTATGGGATTCAATAGCTGTCTTTTGAACTTTTGGTAACTGATGTATTTTTTTTCTTCTGGCAGATATGAAGGCTTTTTTCTTTGTTGCAATTTTAAATGTTGTGAATATAATGTAAGTTGAATTTTTATTTTTATTTTCACTTTCTTAGGGTATGAATTCTTTCTTTCTTAGACCCAGAGATTTCATTACCAGAACTCTATCCCAAGGAAGCTATTAACATCCAGAAAAGTCCCACTCTCATAACATGAAAAATGTCCATATAAATATATTCATGCTAAACTTAAGTGTAGGTATCTGATTGGTTTTAGACCTACTGCAACTCAGAATTTAGGTGGCTCACTAGTCTCAACCTGTCCAGCATCAGAGACTATTGGCATGGGTCACCATGCCTGGCTTCAGATTCTATTTTGTTTTCCAGAAACCTTGATGATTATGAGGTTCCTTCTTGATTAGTCTTTCAAATCCAACACTTTTACTGAAATTGTTATCTAGCTCTTTTCCAGCTAAATTATCTTCTGAAATTTTCCTGAATTGAATTGCCTTCATTTATTTTATCCTCCATTATATTTTTTTCCTCTGATGATTGTTGTTGTTTAGTTCTTTAGTAATTTGATTGGTACTATCACTAAACTGGTAGTATTATTTTGGTAGAATTGTGGTTTTTTTTTTACTAAACTGTATGAACAATAAAAAAATGAAAGCTGAGTCCAGATCCTTTGATCACACTCCATCTCCTAATCAAATCAATAAGTATTTATTAACTGCCTACCATGTGCCAGGCACTGTGCTAGACAATGGGAATATACCCTTCTTTGTCAGAGTCCACTTCACCTTAGGCAAGCTTGGGATTGCAGACACTTCTGTTAGAGAAGCATTCACTGGGAAGGCTATAGGACATGGAAGACCCTAGATTCAAATCATGGGAGCAAGAGGTCAGTAAGAATCACAACATGGTGGCAAAAAATGTTTTTATTCAATGGGGAGCTCATGTTTCCAACAGCATGAGAAGCCCCAGTACAGATCATATGAAATGGCAGCCTTTTTTTCTGAACTTTCTGGCATCACTGGCTCAACATGGATAGAAGCTTCCAACAAGTGTCATTTGGGTAAATTCTTTATAGTCAGACCATATGTGGACATGTAACAATGAGTCTTTATGCCATCAAGCAGTTCCCAGATAACTGGAGTCAAGTAGTTACTACCTAGCAAGGTAGATAGCTAATAGTTCTGCTGGCCAAATTCAGAAGGCAGTTACCACTACAATAAGAGAGATCCTTTGTTCACCCTGTATTTCTGCATAAAGGGCCCTTCAAATTTCCTGTCTTACAACATCAACCTACATCTTGGAAAGCAGAGACCTGAAGTCAAGATAATCTGGGAAAAGGGCAGAAGCTGAATCTGGAAGGAAACAGAGGTGCTTTAGAAGCTGGGCTCAGAAGACCTGGGGTCTGGAAAACATTGTAAGGGGGAAGGAGGAAGGTCAGAATGGAGAGGTTAGCTATAACAAAGATACAGATAAAGAAAGTGGTTACTTCTTCCTAAGGAAAACACTTTGCATTTCTTCCTCAAGGACATGACTTACCTCTAGAAGGCTACTTAGGCAAATGTTTTAAGAGATAATAGAAAGAATCCCAGTACCAAAATAACTCTCCCAAATGATGGGATAAAGATTCATTTGGTCTAATAAGCCTCTTTTAAAATATACATATACTTGGTAGACTTTTCTGGGGGAGTGGAGTGGAGCATAAAGGAACCAAGGGAATAGAAAGACAATATCGATTATTTGGCCTCCAGTAGGAAAACTATTTACTTCCTAGCACTTTGCTGAGATCATCTAGCACTAACGGAACTGAAGTTCGATTTGAGAGAAGTAATTTTCAAGTAGCCCTAACCTCTTCCCTCAGGTAGGCAACAGGCCTAGAAATCTACAAATAATCTTGTTTCTTTCCTAAGCTTCCTTGGTTGTAAAAAAGGGATAATAATAATAAAACCCTCATAGGGTGGTTATATAGCTCAAATGAGATTATATACATACATATATATATGTAATATATATATGTATATAAAATGCTGTTGCAAACTAAAGTGCTCTGTAGATGTCAGTTATTATATTTTTCCTTTTCCAACTTTTCAGACTATGTGTTTTTTTCTTCTCATAATGTCTAAAATTTCACCAATTAGAGAACTGAGTAAACAGTTCCTCTCTTAAAATTAAAATGCAAATAGGAGGGTTGAGGCAGCTATTCCAATCCAATCAGCACTTATTAGCTATTTATCATTCATATTTTATTGTAAATTAAACAAATAAATTTCCTCAAAACACTTACACAAGATTATTAGGTCGTAGGTAGAGGAGAAAAGGGAAATTTCTGAGCAGAAAACATTTCACGTGGACAGTCAACCTAGGTCAGACATTACAGTGGAGATTTTGGGCAGCTAGAGGGCACTTTGTGCTCATGAGGATTGGGGCAAGTAGAAAGGGAGATAAGGACACCAAAGACAAAATTCTACTTTTAAATTCTGTCTACATCTGTCTACCTTAGATCTTTTTGGGTCTATTTTGTATTACTATTCAACTATTACTCTTTCTATGTCTCAGCCCTAAAACCAATGTTTTGCCTGACAGAATCAAAGAATTATAAAAGAAAGACAAGCCAATTTCTAAAGTTGAGACAACCCTCAATTATCATTTCTGAGAACATTATAATGGCTATTAAATGTTAACTCCTTGAGAGCAGGGACTGTTTTTGCTTTTCTTTATATCCCCAGGGCTTAGGACAGTGCTTGGCACATAGTAAACACTTAATAAATACTTAGTGACTGACTAAAATATAGATACAAGAAAATTTGACTTTGGTACCATCTCCAACCAACATAATATATTCATTCTATAAATAAAAATTTAACACAAGAATAATCCACACAGACAAATTTCTCTTGGTAAAACAAGGCTGTTTTACTAAGTATCTGTTAAGTTACAGAAAAAAAATATACATATATCTGTACGTGTATATATATATATATATATATACACACACATATATATACACATATACATGTGTGTGTGCGTGTGTATATGTGTGTATATATATAATTCATATATATCTGAATAATACATATATTATTCATATATATCTGAATAATAAAAAATATATCTGGACTCTTAGTAATGGCATTAAAATCTATAATGACCATTTAGTTGCTATTTTGTTCTGTGCTTACCTGCCTAATCTTCTCTTACCATATTTAGTGAGCTGAATATGCCCTCCTAGTAGCCAGCATAGAGAGTCTATCATACTCTGAAAATGCCACAAGAATTCACCTTTTTCTTCATCCTTAATGCAAAGAAAAGACAGCAACTTTAACATAGCTCTACGTGGGAGTCAGAGAAGATAAGTTCTATTTCAAGCTATTCCATTTACTAATTGTGTGACTTTAAGCAACCAAACTTTTGAGCCTTAGCTTCTTTTTTTTTCTATAAAATATGACTAATTCCACCTACCTAGCACATACTAGTTAAGAGGATACTGTACATGAAAATGATGTGAAAACTTTTTAATGACAGAAAAATACAAGGTTTTAGAATCACAGAATCTCAAACTGTGAAAGTATTGAATAGGATCATAAATCTTAATAGCTGTAAAGTTGGCTATATAGCCCATTCCCCTCTTCTGAAGCTCAGAGATATTAACAGACTTGTCCAAGGTCACACAAGCAGTAAGTAAGGTTAAGATTTAGACTCAAGTTCCTAACCCCAGAGTCACTATTCTTTCCATTGTGCCACACTACCTCTTAACCATCTAGTCCAACTTCCTCTAGACCAGAATCCCTTCTACAACATTCCCTGTAAAGTAGGTGTCTTCCACTTTTATGGCATTTCCCAAAGCACCCCCAAAAGAGTTTGAGAATATGTTCCTGTAAGTGAGATTCACTGGTTTTTGGTATCCTCTGGAATTCTCTTTCTAGATATCCATTCCAACCCACATCCTAGCAAAAATCCCATTACAATATCCCCAACAAACGGTCATCTAAACTTTGCTTGAAGATTGCCAATGAAGCCACTACTCAAAAGAGAAAGGCTTTTCTATTTTTGCATAGTCCTCTATATATTTGCAAGTTTTTCTTTGTATCAAACCTTAAATTTGTGTCTCTGCTTCTACCAACTGTTCTTAATTCTGACATTTAGGGATAAGCAGAAGAAATCTAATTTATTCTTCTTTCACATGATAGCCCTTAAAATACTTGAAGCTATGGTTCCCAGAACTCTCTTTGGAGTTCCCAGAACTCCAAAAACAATTACATAGTAACATCAAAGATCACTGATCACAGATCACTGTAACAGATAAAATAATAATGAAAAAGTTACAAGAATTACCAAAATGTGACACAGAGACATGATGTGAGCATGTACTGTTTGGAAAAATATCACTCTAATAGACTTACTCAATTACAGGGTTGCCACAAACCTTCAATTTGTAAAAAAAAAAATGCAATTATCTTTGAAGCAAAATAAAGAAAAGCCCAATAAGATGAGGTATGCCTGTACAGTGGCCATTTATAATCATAGTTTAGGTAATGTGGCCAATAGTTCCTCAATCTCATCCTTAAATTCCTTAAAAACTTCCAAGTGAATAGATTAGCTACAAATTACATTATAGTAAATGACCATAGTAATCTAGTAAATGTAAACCCAAAGATCCAAGCTTTTGGAACAAAAACTCATTATTTGACAAACACTGCTGGGAAAACTGGAAAACAGTATGGCAGAAACCAGGTATAGACCAACATTTCACACCATATACTAAGATAAGGTAAAAATTAGTACATGATTTATGCATAAAGGGTGATGCCATAAGCAAATTAAGAGAGCAAGGAATAGTTTATCTGTCAGATTTATGGATAAGGGAAGAATTTAGGACTAAAGAAGATATAGAGAGCATTATAAAATGTAAAACAGATAATTGATTATATAAAATTAAAAAGTTTTTGCACAAACAAAACCAGTGCAACCAAAATTATAAGGAAAGCAGAAAACTGGGGGAAAACGTTTGCAACAAATATTTCTGATAAAGCGTCATTCCTCAAATATATAGAGAACTCAGTCAAATTTATAAAACATAAGTCATTCCCCAATTGATAAATGATCAAAGGATATAAACGGGCAGTTTTCAGACAAAAAAATCAAAGCTATCTGTAATTACATGAAAAAATGTTCTAAATCATTATTGATCAGATAAATGCAAATTAAAACAACTCTAAGATACCATCTCACACCTATCATATGACAGAAAAGGAAAATGATAAATACTGGAGATGTGTGAAAATTGGGATACTAACGCACTTCGTGGAGTTGTGAACTAATCTAACCATTCTGCAGAACAATTTGGAACTATGCCCAAAGGACTACAAAGCTGTGGATATCCTGTGATCCACAAATACCACTGCTAGGTCTGCATCCCAAAGACATCCAAAAAAAGAGAAAAGGACCTATTTATACAAAAATATTTAAAACAGTGCTTTGAACAGACATTGGAAACAAATATTCCTTTGGACAGTTATGAAAACGAGTGGGAGAAGGCAGCCTTAAAGTAGAGCTATAGTTTCCTTTTTATTCCATTCCAACCAGAATTTTACAACTTTCAAGTTTAAGCCTTCTCTCACCTTCTTCTCTTTGGATGAAATAAAAAAAAAGTTACAAGCCACTACTTTATTTTTTATTCTTACTTTCCATCAAATATGTACTGAAAAAATAACATTCTTTCTTAGAAGAAATGTCTTCAGAAGGCTGAACATATGCACATACCTCAACTGCACCGATGTAGTATTTTTGCAATCGTCTCCCTAAAATAAGGAAACTTTCTGCAGCTGAAGGAAGTAACTTATTGTAAAATTCTTCTGCATCTTCTGTTGGTTCCAAGCCCACGCAGCACTGGCTAAAACAAGAACATAGTTTTGTGTGTGATTTGGTTTGCACTTATTACAAATGTTAGTTGAGAATTAAAACTATCATAAATATTGAACTTTTTTAGCCACAATTCCTTAGCATCCTTTTTCTGTCACAACTGACTGATAAACAAAGGGCTCTTCCTTCAAAATCATATTGGTAACTTTCAGAAAAAGTAAACTTACTTAGGAAAAATAAACAGACTATGGATCATACCAATAGTTAAATCTAGCACTAGGTAAATCTAGATGTCCTGAGCACCTAGCAATCCCATGAGGTTTAGCTGACTTGAAGGAACACACAAGAGAGACATTAAGTCACTCAAAAATGGAAATACATCTTATGTGATATCTGTATCTACCAATTCTTCTTGAAAAAAAAAATTAACATCTGAAAAACACAAAAGTTAAACTCAAAGAGAAATCAGGAAAATAAGAGTACTAATTCCAGCTAGGCTACTGATGTTTCTCTGCGGTGCTTACACCTCCAAAATTTGTGCTTTCATTCCTTCATTTGAGAAAGTAACATAAAAGAGCCCTGTTTTTAATACATTTTAAAGAAATGATTCCTTAAATATTTGTATTCATGATAAGGGAAGAATTTAGTCCAATGCACATCTGACCATAAATACATTCTATAACATTCCCAATCAGTGGTCTTTTAACTTCAGTGAGCCAATAAGCATTTATTAAGTGTCTACTATGTGCCAGGCACTGTGTTAAACACTGGGGATACATAGAAAGGCAAAAGACAGTCCTTCCTCTAAAGGAGCTCCCAGTCAAACTGGAGAGACGACATGCAAACAATTATGTATAAGAGATATACATACATACACACACACACACACACACACACACACACAAATATACTCTCACACAAGATAAACTGGAAATAATCCATAGAGGGAAAGCATCAAGATTAAAGAGAACTGAGAACTGCAGAACTTTAAACTTTAGCTGAGACTTGAAGGAAGTTAGGAAATCCAGAAGGCAGAGATGAGGAGGGAGAGAATTTCTGGCACAGGGGAGAGCAAGTGAAAATGTTCCAAGTCTGAAGATAGGGTATCTAATTAAAGAAACAGCAAGGAAGCCACTGTCACTAGATCAGAGCACACTTTGTGAGGTGTGGAAGGGTGAAAGAGGAGGGGAGGTGTAAGAAGACTGAAAGAGCCAAGTTATGAATGGCTTTAAAACCCAAACAGTGGATTTTATATTTGATCCTGGAGGTAACAAGGAGCCACTGGAATTTAATGAATGGTGATAGGGATATGATCAGATTTAAGCTTTAGGAAGATCAATAAGACAGCTGAGTGGAAGATGGAGTAGAGTAGGAAGACATCTGAGGCAGTGAGAACAGTCAGAGGCTATCTATTATAACAGTCCAGTGAGGTGCTGAAGGTAGTGGCAGTGTCAGAAAAGAAAAGGGAGTATATGAGAGAGATGTTACAAAGTTAAAATAGATAGGTCCTGGCAACAGACTAGACAAGGGGTGCGAAGAGTGAAAAGCTGAGGAAGACACCTATGTTGTGAGCCTGGGTGACTGGAAAGATGATGATGCCCTTTATAGTAATAAGGAAGAGGGGAGGGTTTTTGGGCAAGTCGAGTTCAGTTTTGGACATACTGAGTTTAAGGTGGTTACAGACCATCTACTTCAAGATGTCCAATAGAAAGCTGAAGATGCTGGACAAATAAATCTGAGAATCATCAGAATAGAAAGAATAATCCAACCCCATGAGGTGATGAAATCACCAAATGAAATACCATAGAAGGAGAAGAGGAACCAGGATAGGGCCTTGGGGAATACACAGGGTTAGTGAGCAAGACCCAGACAAAGATCCAGCGATGAAAACTGAGAAAAAGCAGTCAGACAAGTACAAGAAGAATCAGGAGAAAGTAATGTCAAAAAAACCTAGAGGGAAAAAGTTATCAAGAAGAGGGTGACTGATAATGTCAAAGGCTGCAGAGAGGTCAAGAAATCTGAGAATGAAAAAAGGCCATTGGATTTGGAAATTAAGAGATTATTGGCAACTCTGGAAAGAGCAGGTTCAGTTGAATAATGAGGTCAGAAGCCAAACTGCGAAGAATTAAGAAGGAAGTGAGAGTAAAGCAAGTGGAGGCACATAAACAGCTTTCAAAAGGAGTTTAGCCAGAAAACGGAGAAGAGATACAGCGTGACAGCTAGCAGGGATGGATAGATCAAGGGCAGATTTTTTGAGGATAGGAAAGACATAGGAGTATTTGTAGGGAGAAGAGAAGCAGTCAGAAAAGAAGGAGAGAGACTTTAAGATAAGGGACAGAGTAGAGATAATAGAGAGGGCAATCTGCTGGAGGAGATAAGATGGATGCCAAAAGACCTCCAATGAGGGAGAACCCATTACTTTCTGAAGTAGTCCTCAGTGTCTTCTTTTGGACATTCAGAATACAAAACCAAAAGAGTTCCTGCCCTCTAGGAACCTAAGAGGTATTATTATTATTATCATCATTATAATTATTGTTATTGTTTTTGGTGAGGCAGTCGGGGTTAAATGACTTGCCCAGGGTCACACAGCTAGTTAAGTGCCAAGTATCTGAGGCCAGATTTGAACTCAGGTCCTCCTGACTCCAAGGCCAGAGCACTATCCACTGCACCACCTAGCTGCCCCTCTAAGAGGTATTAATGCCAATGATTATGAAGTCTTGGACAATTAAAACAAAGACGATGGGGGCAACTGATTGTGTTATTCTCTGTGCTGTCTTTTGAAGACAAAGAACCATGCAGAAGAGAAAATTACTTTAGGATGTGAAATTTGCTTAGGCTAAGGTGGCACCTGAGAATGGGGTTCAGATTTCTGGACCATGGCTTAAAATATAGAAATTACAAACTTTGGATCAGAAACTGAATATACCTACCAAAAGTTGGTAAGAATATATTTTCTGGATGTCTTGCAAATCTAATCAAGAGAACTTTAAACTAAAAAGGATGGAGAAAGAAGGCAAGCTGGATATAACAGACCATTAACTCCAGTAAAGAAAGAATGGCATCTGAGACACCCAGATGTTCACAGGACAAAAATTCAAAGACAAAAATTCAATAAAAGTGCCAGCCATAAAACCTATTATCTTAAATGTATACAGTCACAAACATTCCTTCATAAAGTTTGGACAGAGGAAAGGAAAGCCTGACACAGTATGGCATGAATTCTAAATTTGGAAAAGGCAAATTTTAAAGGGCTTAGAAGGATGGGTGGTAGGACACAATTCTTCTAGTGTTGTTTTTTTTTGAACAAAGGTAGTCTAGAGAATTCTAGAAATATACTTTATCATACATAAGGGGGAAAGTATCTGTTAACCAAGAATATCAAAAGTGCTGGGGATTCCCCCCTCATAAAACAGCAGCTGTTTTTCATCATACCAGAAAGAGTAAAATTTGGGGGAGGATAAAAAGCCCCACAGACCAAACTAATTCTGGAAGCATTTTTTTCACTTTAAAGAAATTCAAGTAGAAAAGAAGCCAATGCTTTTCCAATAGGTTTTCTGGTTGTTGTGATGTGGCTGACCACAGGCTGTTGGTAAAATACTATTTTTTCTTTTATTTTAGAAAAATCAATTCTTTTTTCATATTCAATCCTTGCCTCTCCTCACCAAAAACAAAAAAACAACAGATTTCTCCCCCAATTTCCTACCTGCCATAATGCTTCTCTCTTCCACTCAAATGAACTTGTTTCTCATATAATGTGTGCCCATGAGTCTGATTTTATTTTAAACAAACATAAAAAACACATACTCAAGTGAGTCTTATCCTCTTAGGCTTTATGTTCATTCTAATGACGCTACCAGTGCTCAAACACCTACATCTCATTCTTCTAAATAAACCTCAATGATAGCAAATCTTTTACTTCTAAGAGTAGATTTTATTTTTGCAAATAGTTAAAAGCACTTGAAAACAATTATTAGGAAATATGGCAGGTATTCAAGCTAGATAATACCAAAAACGTTTCATCTGGTCCTGAACCCAAAGCTTATTTTTCCTTTATCCTCCATCTTGCCTGGCACTGTACTTTACATACAGCTGAACTCAAAAAAATCTGTTTAAGAAAAAAACCACCATCCCCAAAAAGGAACTCCTAAAGAGTATTTCTAAAGATATTGCTAGCAATGACACCATTAACATAAATTTAATGCCTTCCAAAGTGACAACTTTAATGGACAACATTCATATGGATATATGAATTGTGATGTTTGTTTAAAAAAAAAGCAGGGAAGGAGAAAATCAGTCTCATTACTTTAGAGTCACATTTAAATAATGAAGACCTATACACAGTCAAGATATACAATTCCTTTTCTAGTATGAGTCAGCTCGTGAAAAACAAAGAAAAGTAAATACAATAAACTCGTTGGGCTTTGGTAGGCTCTTCTACTGTAAGCCTCTTTCAACAAATGGGCTCACTGCTACAGCTTTCCAAACACTCCCATTAAAACAAACCAAAAAACCTAGCCCTCTCCTAACTGGCACTTTACCAAAAGGAAAAAGTACTAGAAACTGATGTTTCTGATACTTCCTATTAAGTAAATATTCAACTTAGTAAGAGGAATAAATGTTAAAGATAGTAGAATGCTGAAGTTAGCATAGGAAGTTACTTATGCAATATTTTTTAGATCATGGTTGGGATGGAGAGGAGCTAGATTTCTGATTTCCTAAGGTTTTTATAAACAATACTGATTTACATGTCTAAATCACTACTCTTTCATTCATTTATTAATCTCCAGGAGAAAACAAGGAAAATCACAGTACAAATAACTCCCCATTCTCCTACATACCAGCTAATTAAGTTTTTCTTATAACAACACAACAGAGATTCCAGAATGAAAAGGGAAATGAGAACAGTAAGAATTAACTCTTTATCCATTTCTTCATCTTTACCTTAATATCTGTGCAAGTTGGGAAACAGTTATCCAACCACCCTGGATTTTGGTGACATCTTTTCTAAGAACCAATAGGCAATACTGAATGAGGTCATAGCAATATATGTCCTGTTTAATCTTCTTTAATTCTGAGCTTCCCAAAGGGACACTGTTTAACATTTCTGAGGCAAAAGAAAACAAAGCTATATTTAGTTACTTTCACCACAATTACCATAGCTTTTAAAAATTGTTTAATAATAACTTTTGGATAATAAATAAAATAATAATAAAATATTTGAAAGCATCATGAACTGTTCAAAGATAATTCAATATTTAACTATGTTTTGATAGGACTAGATCATAAGGATTCGAAGAAAAATATATAGTTTGGCACTTTGTTCAACCATTCAGTTATTCACAGGAAAGTAAATGCAAATGTGCTCTGGAACAAGTGTCAGTGTAAGATAGACATCTAAAATTCAGAATTAGATGATTAAAATATAATTTTCCAGAGTAACTTTGGAAGTTGATTCTACGGTTTCATTATTCAAATACATATTGTAGAATGACCACAGAAAAGTTTCCTTACCTTTTAATTTTTCTCTTTTTTTCCTAAATTTTAAAAAATGCTCTTTATTTTTAGTTTTCAGCATTTACTTCAATAAGATTTTGAGTTAAAAATTTTCTCCTCCTCTCTCTCTTCCCCCCAACCCAAGACAGTGTGCAATCTGATATAGGCTCTACCTATACATTAATATTAAACATATTTTCACATTAGTCATGTTGTAAAGAAGAATTAGAACCTATGGGAGGAAGCACAGGAAAGAAGAAACAAACAAAAAAAGAGCAAATAGTATGCTTTTATGCTTTGATCTGCATTCAGACTCCATAGTTCTTTTTCTGGATGTGGATAGCATTTCCATCATGAGTCTTTTGGAGTTGTCTTAGATCCTTGCATTGCTAATAGGTAAGTCTATCAAAGTTAGTCATCACACAATGTTGCTATTACTGCGTACAATGTTCTCCTGGTTCTGTTCACTTCACTCAGCATCAGTTCATGTAAGTCCTTCCAGGTTTTTCTCAAGTCTGCCTTGCTCATCATTTCTTATGAAACAACAGTATTCCATTACACTCGTATACTACAACTTGTTCAGCCATTCCCCAATTGATGGGAAGCCCCTCAATTTCCAATTCTTGGCCACCACAAGAAGAGCTGCTATAAAGATTTTTGTACATGTGGGTCCTTTTCCTATTTTTATGATCTCTTTGGGATACAACCCTAGAAGTGGTATTGCTCAGGATCAAAGGGTATGCACAGTTTTATAGCCCTTTGGACATAGTTCCAAATTGCTCTCCAGAATGGCTGGATCATTCACAACTCCACTAAATACAATAGTGTTCCAATTTTCCCATATCTTCTCCAACATTTATTATTTTCCTGTTTTGTCATGTTGGCCAGTCTGATAGGTGTGATGTCTTACCTTTTAATTTCAACAGTATAACAGAAACGTTCTGTTCAGGGCTTTCTGCAACCTCAGCAGCTAGAGACAATACCCTTGGATCCACAGTGATTGATTCCATTTCCCACTGGTTATCTTTGAATAAAAACAGGTATATAATACAGGTCAGTTAAGAGACCTATCACACTATATTATTAAAACATTTTAAATGGAGACATTAGGTGTTTAATAATATTTCACATTTGTAACATCAACAGTTAAAAATTCAAAAACATATATATGTATACTAGCATTACAGAAAAAGTATCAGATCTGGAGTCAGAGCTCTATTACCTTCTAGTTCTATTATCTCTATGACCAAAGGTATCACCTGGGAAAGCCTATGGGTTTGAAATTGTGGGAGCACCTGGACAAGAACCATGACATGCTAGCAAAAAGACCTTTATTAAAAGTGATAAAGACTAATTAACTAAAGTTCAAGTTTCCATTAGTAAGGGGAATCCTCCATTAAAGTCCCTGCAAATTACAAACCATATGTATGTGAAACTTCCAGCATTACAGACTCAGTCAACTAAGGCAGTCCTTTTTTATTTAATTACTTTTAGTTATGTGCCCTAGAGAATCATATTGGTCACATGCAATTGTTCAGAGGTTCCCTAACTGGTTGATGGACAACCAGAGCTGTCCAGTTAATAGTTCATCATCTTAGCTATTAAGAATAAGGTGGGGGGCAGCTAGGTGGCGCAGTGGATAGAGAACCAGCACCAGACCTGAAGTCAGGAGGACCTGAGTTCAAACCTGACCTCAGACCAAACACTTGACACTTACTAGCTGTGTGACCCTGGGCAAGTCACTTAACCTCAACTGCCTAAAACTTAAAAATAAATTTAAAAAAAAACAGAAAGAATAAGGTGGTTCACCTGGCCAGGTTCGGGTAGTGGTCACTACATGGCTTAGCAGATGTTGCATATAGTTTCACTGGCCAAGTTCAGAGCAGATACAACTATAGTTAAGACCAAAAGAAAGAAACAATATGTTCACTTTGTCTTTCTGTACAGTCTTCAGATTTCCAATCTCCCATATTGCCTATATCACTTAATCTCTGGAAATGTGGAAGAGTCCCACCCATAGAACATCTTTTATCATCAGAGAATTCATACAGAAAAGAAGCCTTATGAATGTAACAAATATGGGAAAGCCTTTAACAAGAACTGAAACCTTACTATTCATTAGAGAATTCATACAGGAAAGCAACTTTATAAATGTAATGAAAATGGAAAGGCCTAAAGCCAGAGAGGATATTTTAAAGAATAAAGAATTTATGCTGGAAACAAAAACCCTATAAATGGAAAAAGTGCTTGGAGTCAGAGGACCTGGGTTCTAATTCCAGCTTAGCCATTTACTACCTCGCATAGGTGGAGCAAGTCACTTCACCTCAGAAGGGCCTCATTTTCCTTGTCTATTAAAAAAAAAAAAAGGATGAACTAAACTAACTCTAAGTATCCCTTTAGCTCTAACTCTATGATGCTTTGATATATGCTAATTTTGTCAAACAGAACATCAGTTGTTCTTGATAATTTGTTCTCTTAATACAGAAAGCAAAATATACACCAAATATTAGTCTGCTGAATTGGGGATGCTTCACTTTTCAATGATTCAACAAACACTGATTTCAATTAGCTTTGGAGAATAAAATTCATGACAGAGTCTCTTATGAAACTACAAAATCAATCTAGGGGAAAAAATCATTCTTTTAAATACTGTATTATCAAAAATCGAATTTACTTATCACTGAATTGTGAAAAATATATATATGTACATGTAAACATCTATATTAAGGTTTGAGCAAATGGCAATATGTTTTATGGGGGAAATCATACTGAGTATTGCTGACTAGAATTTAGATAAGATGAAATGAGATATTTGTAAAGCACTTAGTACAGTACCCGGACCACAGCGTTTGTTCCCTTCCTCCCTTTCCTCACATAAAATTACACAATATAAAATGATATAATTTACCATATTATTTGTAACACGCTCATGGCAATTTAGTGTTATGAAAATTACAATTTAACTTGGTTGGATTTTAATAAAATGTACCATCTCTTCTAACTCTCTATGTTATTTCAAATAACATTTAAATGGCATGCTTTCACAGACTTCATTTTTCTTTCCACAGATAACCCATAACTAGCTATATTTGGACTAACTAGCAGCTTAAGGTGAGATTCCACGTTCTAGTCCACCACAGATCTTGTGATTTGAAGTTTACAATGATTAATTAAATTTTTATATTTTATTAGGATCTGACAATACTAACGTTCATGGAAGCAATACAGTTACAGAAACAAAGTCCTGAAAGAATGCAAACAGTTGACATAATCACATAAAATAAAGAGGTTTCTTATGATTCCATTTTCTCCAATCAGAGTAATATCCACACTTATCAAGAGGTCAAATTACCTCAAATCACCTGGAATATAACTCACCAGGAAGTGAAAAAAGCCCTAGGACATTTTTCTGAAACAAATCTGAAGAGAATTTAACTGTTCTGTGAAGTAATCTTTGAATCTGTTTAATACTATTAATATTTATTACCTGAAACTATATCTTGAATAGTTTTGACATTTTTCTCCTTGTCATCAATATTAATACCTACAGGTATATGTGACTGTTAGGTAAGATACAACGTCTTTTCTCCATTTTAGGTAGCTTACAACAGGCTGCAATTTCCCCCTTGTCCCATCACCACGATGCCACTAGTATAACTCTTGTTTACTGGAACACTTCATTTCCTAACATTAAAAATGTGAAATGAAGTATTCTATATAAGTGCATTTTCCAGATCACCTTTTAAATACCCCACACTTATTTTAACATTTACAACCTAAACATGTTTCAAACTAATATTTATGATTTAGTATTGTTATAAGCATCAGTTGTACTATACCATAATGATTTTTGGCAGTGTATTTCTTCTCTTAAAGTTTTTACTTTTGTTAGGGTGCCTCTCAAAATTTTGCTGCAGCAGCACCTCCTCTAATTGACTGTCTAAAGAGATGATTTATACATAATTTTAACACTGCAGGTAAAGAACTTTTAAGTTCTACATGACAATAAAAAAAATTACAGCTGGAAGAGACAACAGAGTTAATAGAGTCCAACCTTTTCATTTTACTGACAAGGGCACTGGTGGTGTAAGAGACAATAAATGCTAACATTTACATGTGGCTTTCAAGGTTTACAAAGAACTTTACAAATATTATCTCATATTATACTCACAACCACTTAGGGAGATATGGTGCTATTATTTTATAGATAAAGAAACTGAGGCAGAAAGTAGTTAAGTGATTTGGCCAGCATCAAAGAAGTACGTATCTGAGGCCACATTTGAACCTACATCTTAACTCCAGCTCTCTATCCACTTTGCCACCTAGCTCCCTCAAGAAATTAAGGAAATTGTCCAGTAAGCCACATTACTAATTATCTGTAGCTGGGCCTAGAATCACAGTCTCCAGAATCCATGTTTAGTGCCCTTTCCATTATACATGCTTCCAAAGGGCGAATCATTATTAGCAATAAAAAAGGACTCATTGGCACAACTGAGTGTCACAAATGGAAAAGTTTTCAAGATGGGCAAATCTGTCTAAGGATATCGTTTGGGTTTGTTTAGGATTGAAGAACTTTACCATCATCCATCCCTTGGCACCCAGTATTATTTAGTTCACGTCCACACCTTTATCTTTCATGGAAACAATTCCCTACTGATTGGACCCCCTGCTTCCATATAATTACTGCGGCCGAATTCCGTAAATTCAGCTAGCATTTACATGGTGCTTTAAAGTTTGCAGAGTGCTTTACAAACATTTCATTTTATCACAACAACCCTGAGAGGTAGGTGCTATTATCATTATCCCTAGTTCACAGATGGGGAAACTGAGGTTAAGAGAGGCCCAAGTGACTGACCCTAGGTCACATAGTTATACATTTAAACTTGGATTTGAAGGCGAGGCTTTCTGACTCAAGTTCAGCACGCTATCCACGGCCTCACTTAACTGCATAGGACAACCCAAAGTTCAAAGAAACTTATCTACCAGTTTCAACCTGTCAGTTTTCTTAAGGGAGACGAAAGGAAAAAGGGAGACAAAACAGGGAGGGAGGAACAGGGAAGGAGGTCTCCAAAAAGGTGCTCAGATAGTAACACAGTAGAAAGCGCTGGGTCAGATATCAAAAGAGATCCGAGTTCAAATGCAGCCTCGGACGCTAGCTGTGTGACCCTGGACAAGTCACTTAACCAGTTTCCTCAAATGCAAAACGGGCATAACAGCACCTATCCTGCAGCCATTGGTACAGCGCCTGGCATACATCTGACGCTTAATAAAATCTTGTTTCTCGCCCCTCTTTGCTTATGCTCAGCACACAAAGCTCGGCGATCAGCGTTGCCCAGGTAACCGAGGCGCCTCTCTTCCCAAGCCCCAGGGGATCTGCTCTACTGCGAGGAGTGGGGGGTGGGGGAGTTTCGCGCAGGAGTGCGAAGGGACGTTCGAAGGCGAGCCCAGACCTGGGTCGTAATGCGGTTTCGACCATTTGTCTCGCAACTGTATAATTAAGTTCAAGAAGTCCCTTCCTGCCCTCTCTGGGACCCACGCTCCGCCTGCGCGCTTCGGCGTCACGGATCCCTCGGAACCCTCCGGCCAGGAACGATGCCACGCGGCGGAAACAACCCCTTCACTTGATGGGAGCCGAAAGTCCTTCCGCCGATTGCTCAAGTAACGTAGTTCTCGATACCCCTCCGCGCCGCGCCCCGCCCCCGTTCCCGTCCCTACCCTTGTGACTTGCGGCGACCTTTACCTCACCCTCGCGCGGGGTTTCGCCAAGAGACGACCACCCGCGGCTGCGGTCGCCCACGTCAGAGCGAGGGGCACCAGACCTAGCGGCCGGGTGACGAATCTCTCTCTCCCAGGTTCACCGGCGAATGGCGGCTGCGCAAACCAGCGGCGGGCGCTCGCGGACCGAAAACGTTTCGGCGGCTCCACTCGAAGCTCCCACAGCCACACCCCCAGTCCTCCCCGGGTTGTCAAGCAACAGCCAATCCGCGCCTCCGAGACTCCCCATTGGCCCGTTCGGGGCGCCGCCCCGTGCCCCGACCTGGCGTGCAGCTGGGAGCTTGCGGCGAGAGGCCGGCAGGCTGCGGCTCCGGGTCCAGGTGGCAGGTGGCGGGCTGCCTAGCTGCGGCGGAGGAGGATGAATGGGCCGGCCGGTGCGCCGTACATTGACAGCCGGGAGCGGGTGCTGAAGTTGGGAGAGAGTTTCGAGAAACATCCGCGCAGTGCCTTCCACACCGTGCGTTGTGAGTGGGGCAAGAAGGGGCCATACCTTGCCTTCTCTACCGGCCCTTTGGGTGGCTCCCAGCAGTCCCCGGAGTCTTCCTTACCGATGTCCCCCACCTTTTTCCTGTGGAGAAAGGCCGCACTCCCCCCTGCCTTCTCTGCCACGCCAACCCCGCGGTGGGGCCCGGGGCCCAGGTGTTTAGTGGGGCTGGAAAGCCCGAGGCGTAGATGAGAAGCTGAGGGGGAGGGGAGGGCTTGAGTGACAGGCGGGTGACAGGCAGGCAGAGCGCAGATGAGTGACAAGCGGAGGCGCCTTGCTGTTCTGGGGGTGAGGGGGCTACTGCCTCCTCGCACGAGGGACAGACAGGTCCTGCTGAGGTGGAAGGAAAGGAACAAATCAGAGATCAAGCGAACCTGGAACCGTTTGCAAGGCTGCTGGTGCCATGCTGGTACGATGGGGGTGTGGGGGGAAAGGAACCGCAATTCTTGACCTCTTGCCCGTGCCTTGTTTTCTTTTCCCTCCCTCTACCACCCCCACCCCAATCAGAAGGATCTTGTGAGGACTTTCACAAGAATTTGAATTTCAGGAGTTTAAAAAGATCGCCTTTATAAACACTACCTGCTCTAAAGTAAGTTCACATATTTGGAACTTGATTCAAAAGTATTTGCTATGGGGAGAAAACCAACACTTGGAGGTCTTTCTATACAGGAGGTAGAAAGACTAATGAATGGGTGTTATGCTTGTTGGGTACTAGAGTGGGTCTTTTGCCACCCCCAAGGTACTGGATGTTTTCTTTTTCTTTCTCTTTTTCTTCCTTTTCTTTTTTCTCTTCCTCTTTCTCAGTTTTCCATATTTGAAAATGAGGGAGGTGTAGTTATGGTTGCCAAACTGAAAGAAAAGATTTAATACAGCTGAAGAAGGTACCAAACCAATCAGGTGGGTGATAGGGCTTCTGTTTTGAGGGTAAAGGACTAAGAACGTTTTAGTCTGGAAATGTAGAAACTTGAAAATATCTGTTTCACCATGAGATATGATTGAAATTCATAAAATCGTAACACATTGGAAGGGTAGACCTGAGCAGGTGGTTTTAGATCAAATTAAAAAGTACACCTTGTGTAAGAGCTAAAGAAGGTATTAAGTTGTTGATGAAGAGTACAGGCTAGTTAGTTTCAGAGAGTTTATTATAAGTTATAGAATCACAGAATCTAGAATTGAAAAGAATCTCTAAAGTCACCCAATCCACCAAACTATATTTGAATAGGTATCTAGTCTAAAATATCCCTGACAATTGGCCATTGAGCCTCTTTTTTTTTTTTGGTGAGGCAGTTGGGGTTAAGTGACTTGCCCAGAGTCACACAGCTAACTGAGTATTATGTGTCTGAGGCCACATTTGAACACAGGGCCTCCTGACTCCAGGGCCACTCCACTGCCCCACATGGCTGCCTCTAGAATCCTGTCTACTTTTTTTTTTTGTTAGGCAACGGGGTAAAGTGACTTGCCTACGGTCACACAGCTAGTAAGTGTTATGTGTCTGAGGTCACATTTGAACTTGGGGTCCTCCTGAATCCAGGGCCAGTGCTCTATCCACTGGCCACCTACCTGCCCCCATTGAGCCTCTGGACTACTAAGATCTAATTGTTAGGGAGATTTTTTTTCTTAAGCTGAACCTCTGTCATCTGCCTTTTTAAAGTTCCTAGTTGTGCACTCCAGGTTCAAACAAAACAAATCTTTTTTTTTTTTTTGGTAGTTGGGGTTAAGTGACTTGGGCAGGGTCACACAGCTGTTAAGTGTCAAGTATTTGGTCTGAGGCCAAATTTGAACTCAGATCCTCCTGACTCCAGGGCGGGTGCTCTATGCACTGCACCACCTAGCTGCCCCCAAACAGAACAAATCTAATTCTTCTTTGATTTGACAGTCCTTCGAACTGTTACATGTTCTTCTTCTCCACTATAGGGAGAGATCAAGTTCTCTGTGCTAAACATGCATTGTTCCTTCCACTGATTCTTTTTATGGCTTGGTTTCCAGTGTCCTCACTAGTCTACCAGCTTTCCTCCAGCTTTTTAGTGTTCTTCCTCTGGCCTCAGCACTTACTGTTTGACCTTGGGCAAGTCACTCTGTTTGTCTCAGTTTCCTCATCTGGAAAATGGGGATAATAATACCACCATCCTAAGGTTGTTGTGAGGATCAAATGAGGTAATAATTATGAAGTGCTTGACACTGTGCCTGGCATATAGTAAGCCCTATATAAATGTTAGCTGTCAAATGTGGCAGCTAGTGATGGACATAATATTCCACATATGGTCTGTCTAGGATAGGCAATAGCAAGATTATGTCATCTACAACATTTATTAATGCAGGCAAAGATCACATTAGCTTTTTTGGCTGCCATATACTGGGCCTGCCATCTTCTAAACCCCTAGCTTTTTTTCCCCACAAGAACTGTTATTTAACCATACATGCCTCTCCTATTCTGTAATCTTTGTAAATGCAAAGTATTTTCTTTGAACCCAATTAGAATACTTTACATTTATCCCTAGTAAATGCCATCTCATTAGATTCAGCTCACCATTCTACCCAGTCAAGATCTTTTGGGAACCTAACTTTTATCCAGCATGTGAATTATTTTCTGCCAGCTTATATCATGTCCATGTGTTGTTCATCCTTGTCATTTATAGAAATGGTGAACAGTGCAGGGCCAAGGGCAAATCCATGGGACCATCTGCTAGATATTACTCCAGGTTAATATCAACTCATTAAACCTTCTCTCTGGACTCTGTAATTCAACTAGTTCTGTATTTGCATAATTCTACCAGCACCTTATGCACGAGGTATAGTATGTCATTGACATATGCCTAATCTACCATCCTAGGAACCCTAGAGAAAAAGGAAATGAGATTAGTGTGGTATGGTCTGTTCTTTCTGAAGTCATACTGCCTGTTGGTTGTTGCTACTTTTTTTCCCAAAAATGCTCAAGAACCATCCTTTTAATAAGATTCAAGAATTTTTCTTCCTTTACTGTCATCTGTTTTCTCATTTACCATTAATAGTGATCCTATCCCTACTTTGACTTTTTCCTTGCTTCTAAAATGGTTTTTTAAAAAGAAGTTTTGTTTTCTATTAGCATTTATCACAAAACTTTGATGTTCCTGAAATTTTTCTTAAAAAGACTGTAACTTTTTTAACCTGCCCTCTCTTCTTCTAAAGGTATCTTTTAAAATTCTAATTTGATCGAATCCTTGTGAATCCACATATGCTTCTCTAAACAGCTCCTTTTCCTCTTCAGAATAGAAGAGTTTTAATAACCTTATAATGGGGCGTTAAGGAAAACAAGTGATATTTGAATACATCCTTGGCATTTTGAGATTGACATCATAGGAAAACAATTGTATTCTCTCACATTGGCCCATGGCCATTATCAGAACAATAGTTAGCTTGATGAACCATAGTTCCTTTCCAGTATGTCATTTTAGTTGATAAATGCTTATTGAGTCCATATGGTGAGCATAGCAACTTGAAGGATACAAAAGGAGGAAGAAGTAATTCCAATGCTCAAGTGATAATCTTGTTAGAGGAACAGTGTATGAGACAATTAGAGACTAGGACTGAACAACCTTTTAGCAACTGATTATAGAATCGTATTATTATACTATAATTATACTATTGCAGAATAGTATAATTATAAAATTATACTGGATGCTGTGATAATTCAGATAATAGATGTAGTCACAGGAAGCACAAAACCACCATCTGAGATGACTGACGCTGCTGTCCTCTTAGCCTAGCTTCCCACCTTGTTAAATATTCATGTGTGGTAGATTCTGCAGTGGTAGGCCCAGAAATAGAGAAGGAGGAGGAAGGGAGTACAAACTCCCAAAGAGGCACCCTTAGTACTAACATTATTTCTTAAACTCCAGCCTCCCCGCTCCCCCCTCCCCAGTTGATTTCCTTCTCTTCTCTTCTCCCAGTATTCCTCCCTCCAGAACTTGCTAGGCGTCTGTGTGAAATAATTTAGAATAGATTCTGGTTCTGTCTGAAATGTAGATGAACATTCCTTAAAGATATAACATTACTATTTGTGTGCAACTTTCTTACTTAGGACCTAGAAAGAAAAAGAGAGAAGGCACTTGTTGGGTAGAATAAGATCAGTCAGTCAGTAAATAAACATTTATTAAGAACCCACTATGTGCCAGGCACTGTGTTAAGTGCAGGAGGTGCAAAGAAAGATAAAGGGCAATCCTTGCTCTTCGAGTTCCCAATCTAATGAGGGGGGACAACATGAAAATAAATAACTATGTGCAGGATATATTGGAAATAATGAACATCAGGAAGGCACTGTTATTAAGAGGGATCAGGAAAAGCTTCCTATAGAAGGTGGGATTTTAGCTGGAAGAAAACCAGGAGGGAGAGCATTCCATGCATGGAAGATAGCCAGTGAAAATGCCTGGAGTTGAGTTGAGAGGGATAAGAGAAGAGGGCCCAGAAAAAGCCCTGGGGGATACCCAGAGTTGACAAATATGAAGATCCAGCAAAGGAAACTGAAGAGTGGTCAACTGAGTAGGAAGACAACCAGGAAAGTAATGTCCTAAAATTTTAGGTAGAAGAGAGTATCAAGGAAAAGAGGGTGATCAACAATGCCAAAGGCTGCAGAGAAGTCAAGAAGGATGAGGTTTGAGAAAAGGCCATTTGATTTGACATCT